CCCAAAGTTTATGTTATCCATGCTCTCCATAGACAGCCAGACAATGAATAGTATACACATACTGGTCTTTGTTTTCTCTAATATTTGACTTTATGGACTCTATGAAAATTCTAAACTATAGTCAATTAAAAAGAAGATAAACATGATTACAAATAGGTATTTTCTTTATGATATATCTGTTCTTACGCTGTTATTTATATCGGAATCTTTACCTCTTTAACCATATTTTAGAATATATAGCTACTTACATTTTTTATTACAATTCTGACTTGACTTTCAATTAAAAATGGTAATACTTGAGGTATCTAACATCACTCAAAAGATTAATTAATTAAGCCATTAAAATCATAACAATTGACACATGATTAATGTCTGAGTTGTAAAAGAACGAATGGCTGCTTTGCACAATAGTTTGGATGAAGTATTTATTACAATGTCTACTCTTACTTGCTGTATCTTTCAGAAACTATTAGAAAAGTTTTTTTTTAATTAATAGTTTGTAGGATGCTATGTAATGTAGTAATTAGTACCTGGGTCAAAATTGTGTCTGCCAGTCAAAATCTCATCTTTGGGGGCTTAACTCTTCTCTGCTACTTTGTTTAGAGTCTAAACAGGAGTATCAAAGCTTTTTGCAAAGAGGGCCAGATTTGGTGAGATGAAAATGGGTGGGGGCCAACCATTCTGCATGGCATTAAAAAATGAAAAATTTGGCTTGCTGTGGAAACAAGGGCTGATGATAAAGCTTCAGGTGAGACACTTTTCCCATGAAAACTCTTCCAGGAGTGAAATTCCCTTCCTAGGGGTACTTTTCTTTTACTTTCTGTTGTCTCACCTCTGTTCTTAACTAACTTTGTAAGTCAGATGTTTGTAACTCAAGACTGCCTGTACTGGTTTGAAAAATATAACTTGAATTAATTTCTATCTTTTCTTCCCATTGTCATTATCTACTAGGTGAATTGGTAACAAGCGAAGCAAAAGCTGAACCGTGTGTTCTCCAAATAATATATCAGTTGATAGTACAAATAATTTATTCTGGTTTGTGAATTCAGCTATAGTTATATTATTTAGTATTGTAAAAAGAAATAGAATGAATCGACTTTCTTAAAAATATATATTTGATCTTAAAATATAGCCCTGTGTATATGTGGTATGATACAAAACAGGAACCTATGTAAAAGTGAGCAACTAAAGTGAAATTAACAGATACCACACTAACCTAAAATACATGGCTATATGTGCAATGCTTGCAGTTAAATGATATCAGGAGACACAAAAATATGTATTAATCTGCTATTTTTGGTCTTGGAACCAAGGTTTACCTGGTTGGGAACCTTAGCAGGTGACAGATGATTTAAGTACTGCAAATCAATAAGTAGGAAGCACATAATTCAGCTCACTTATGACATAACTGAAAATCAGGCTAGAAAATGGGCACCGTACATTGGTAAATCTATTACACATAACCTGTTTTCTATGACTTACTGTGACAATTATATTGCAGTTCTAGACAGGTCTGTGCAAGTTAAGTAATGTATCTGGCCTGGCTATATTCTGATCAAACTTCAGTCACAATGCTCGTATCCTGCCACCACCATGCCAACCAAAATAAGTGCTAATAGTAAGCAAATTTGAAATATATGTTAGCCTTCTGAATTCTGAAATGATTTAGTTCAGATTTCTACCAGCTATAGATTGAATCAGATTATCCTGATTCCATTACTGAGTAGAGTGGTACAATTCAAAACATTATGGACAAATTTGGAGCTCCAAATATCAAACATGAGTAGTATGTGACCATATAATGAAAATACCGAGGTGGTACAGAGGAAGAGGATGAGAGCTGGGGTTTGCTTATTGATAGTTTTGCTATACTATACTAAACTTTACCAGCATTCTCCAATCACAGTATTTATGGAGAGGGTAATGGAAGCTATATTATCCCGACCTTTTCATTTGTTTGCTAAACATAAAGGCTAGTAGCAAACCACTGTAATGGGAATTTGGAAGATTGCTGATTGACAAAGTTTGGTCTCTGATACCTTTTTTAATATCCTATCCATTTTTGTTCTTGAGAAACCCTAACCTCATTCCCTATTTCCCATTCTTTTTAATCTTAGTATTAACCTGTTTATCAATTTGTTTGTGCTTTAGGATAGTGAAAATTCTCTCCTTCTACCAAAAATGCCCCTAGTTATTGTTAACTGGCTGTCAAAAATGTATCTGTTTAATTCACAAAAGTCACTTATTATTATTATATTGCATGCTTAATTCTTATTATGAAGCAAAACAAAAGTATTATATTGCTCAATACAAATTAAATGTTGATTAGATCTTGTTAATTAGATATATATATATGATTTGAAGAATTATTGTTCTTGTTATTATGGTGGTGGTGGTGGTGATGATGATTATATTGGACCATTTATTTGTGGGGCACCTCCACTGTGGTTGTCCAAATCTACATAGTGTCTCGTGGGTTCTGAACTAAGCTAGGTGCCCAAAACTCAGCCCTAATATATCTTGATATATTTTGTTCAATGCTTCCTATTATTTTAGTTTTATAGTGGATCCCCCAGTGGTGCAATGGGTTAAACCCTTGTACCAGTAGGACTGCAGACTGAAAGGTCAGCGGTTAAAATCCGTGGAGTGGGGTGAGCTCCCATCTGTCAGCCTCAGCTTCCCATGTGGGAACATGAGAGATGCCTCCCACAGGATGGTAAATCATCTGCATGTCCCCTGAGCAGCATGCTTGCAGATGGCCAGTTCTCTCACACCAGAAGCGTCTTGCAGTTTCTCAAGTCAATCCTGACACAAAAAAGTCTTATAGTCCAATGGTCTATGGCGCAGTCTCCAAGTTCCTGTCATCAGTTTGAGGAACAATATCACCCCTCCCACCCCCCGGGCCCACACCAGGGTAGTCACTTCACAATTTAGCACCCAAGGGAGTCACTGGCTTTGCATGCCCCAGAAGTTCAGATTGGCATGGAGCATCAGAACACTGAAACACATAATTATGCATTCCTGCATGACAGAGATTTGGACTAGCTGACTTTAGTGGTCCCTTTCTAGTCAAAGGATCCATGAAAAATATACTATAGTCAATGGTAGACACACATTTGACCAACACACATGTTTGGCCCTCAAACGTTAGACCTGTTTCTGGGTATATTTGATCTACCAATTCCAAAAATGGCACCAGCTGTAGTTTTTGAGATACAGAGCATATGCCACATACCAGTCTTCATTTGCTCTCCCAAAGAAAATCATGATAACCATATCTAAGAAACTAGACCTGATTCAATTTATCCAATGCAATTTTCTGACTTGGTGCCCCAAATAACACCAGGAATAAGCCTAAAAACCAGGACACCAAGATAATTTTCTTCTTGTTGTCAGGCTGTGTTAATCAATTTAATTCCTTTTAGTTCAGTATCAAGCCCATACCATGGCCAATGTTATATTAATTCCAATTGATTTGGGTACATTTACAGTTGATTTACATAATGGAATAATAATTACTTGAGTAAGAGTAATTATTTTAGGGGATTTTATTAAGAATGAGTGGTAAAGAATTGTAATTAATTTAATTATACATAATGATGATTTTTTGCAATTTGAATTTTGACAATTTGCAATTTGAATTTTTGTGCACACACACACAACTAATTTTATGTAAAAAAATACAAAATAAAGCAACAGATGTAGACACTGAGAAATGAAACCTGGGCTTAGCATCGTTGCATTTTAAGCCTGTTTCAATAGATATAGTACTATTTACAAGTTAAAATAAAAAGTTTTTAAAAATCCGGCTATGAAAATGTCCTAGGTCTACAGGAGCATTTGTAACTGCAAAGCCATTGTAAAGTATTCCACATTAATAAAATATGAGAGAGCCAGAAAACAGATGTTCATATGTGGGACGAGTTCGGAGTAGCTATCAGACCTCCCAGTTCGAGGGGTAAAAACAACCCAAGACAAATTTAGTAGATCTGTTGGAATCATTTTAGACTGGCCATTTTTCTCTGCTTAAAAGAAAATGTGTACGGAGGGTGGCGCGAACAGTGTCCCAAAATTTCAGCCACATACCTTGTACTGTACGAGGTCACTCTTCAGTTAACCTTGTAAGTCTAGTTCTCTGTGAAATCCACAACAAAGCGTGACTGGGAGACTAAAATGTCCTGTCTACTGGGATAAAGGTTAAAATACTTCCAATACCCCGTAGCAGGTCTCCAAGGTGACAGAGTTCATAAGGGATGCTGTGTTTGATAGCACATGCTGAATCCAGGCAGTGTTTCAAGATAATCAGGCAGGCAGTGCAACCCTCAAAGTCGAAACAAGAGTGGCCAGAGATAGGGAAGCCTTTCAGAGGAAATGGAGACTAAAGAGAGAGTGCTCATTTCACATATCCTTTTATCACTAGCACTGAAAGAAAACTATTGTTGGTCTTGTTTACAGAAATAAACAAATTATTTGGAAGGATTTGTTAGGTCTTGAGAGATTATTGGAGTTGAGTAGTCAGAATTTATTATATGTGGTTCTGCTCAATCTGCCTTGACAACATTTGAATTGAAGCAGCTTTTTTTAAAAAAAAATATTGCATTATGCACAGTCACATAATATAATCTCTTTTTTAAAAAAACAGAACAAAGAAACTCCCCAGGCCTTGTATATTATTTCTCCCCAAACATGATTTTCAGTGCTGTTGTGAAGACATTTATTCATGGGTTTACAGAAACAGTACATTAATAGATGAGTAGTTTTTAACTGTTCAATGAAAACATCTCTCCATAGATCCAGATGTGATTGTAGAGGAGGTGAAAACCCATCACTGCCATCCGTGTTCTTAGCATGCAGGAACCTATGGGATCAGATCTGACTAGGAGATGTTATTTTTCCTGTAAATACATTTTGCAGACAATCTTGCTCTAGAGAAATGACTGTTGTCTTGATATGTATTGGTTCTTCTATTTATTTTCATTTCTATGTGTTTCCATATCCAGGGACGCCGAGGCAAGCCAGGAGCCCCTGGAAAAGCTGGACCGCCAGGGCCACCTGTGAGTATTCACCATGAATGGTGTAAAACCAATTCCAATCAGTAACTTGTAGATGGTAAAATTGTAGTTTTAAACCAACATGGCAGTCCTTTTATTGTGTATGTGTGTGTGTGAATGAAGTAATCTTATAAATCAGTGGTTCTTAACCTGTGGGCCGCGGACCACCAGTTTGCCACGAGGACAAAAATCTGGTCCGCAAGCCTCCTTCCTCTTTATGTATTTATTTTATTTTTTTAAATTTCCACTCCTTTCATGCTGTCTGCCACTCATTCCCTGTTTCTGACCATGGTGGTCCCTGGTCAAGTGGTCCCTGGTAAAAAAAAAAAAGGTCGGGAACTGCTGTTATAAATAAAGAGAAAGAATGAGATACATATAAGAGGCGTGGGGTCAAAGATTGATAGGGAATGAAGGAACGTAACTTCTGAAACTCTGGTGCAAACAGAAGAAACTGGTTAGCATTTCAAAGAACAGATTGTGTACATTATCCAAGGGATATGGCTAATTCAGTTTACCAAACACGATGATGCTGTGTGTTTAAGATGGATAATTTCTGTCTCAGTGGGACAATTTCAAAGATGAAGGGCTGCAGGATGAGCCTGCCAATTGTCTGAATGGTGGAGAGGATTATACCCAGTGCTGGAAAGAGCATTCAGCTGTAGATCAAATGAGTTTGCTGAAGAATGAAAGAAGATTAAGGCATCCATAAAGTGTATGAAACGGATTGTAAAAAAAAGCATCACTGCAGGTTTTTTTATTCAGATCTGAGCTTTTTGAGTTGCTAGATATGTTTAGTGTTGCAATCTTGAGCTTCTCCATATACCTGGCTGTTTATATAACTACCAATGTTGTTTTTGAATACTAACATTTTTGGTGGGGTCCTGTACTGTTTACCCCATGTACCATATTTCATTGATTCTAAGATGCCATCAATTGTAAGATGCACTCATTTCAGTACCACCAACAGAAAAAATGGTCTGTGTGTGTGTGTATAATCACCTGTGATTTTAAGAAGCACCCAATTTTTGAGATGTTTATATGAGGAAAAACTGCATCTTAGAGTTGATGAACTACACTATTTTGATTCTGTAATTTCTGAAAGTACCTAAGCAGAGAAAATTTACCAAGTGCTGAATGTATACTTTTTGAGTATACACATAAATAATCATAGTCAGCAAGGTATTACTGGTTGTTTGGTTATTTTAAAAAACAACAAGATTTATAAGTATTCTTGTGTGAGACTTCTCGGGATGCCTGCCACAGATGCAGGCAAAATATCAGGAGAGAATGCTTCTAGAACATGGCCATACAGCCTGAAAAACTTTCAACAACTCAGTGATTCCGGCCATGAAAGCCTTCAACAATACATAGTCTTTTGTAAATATTTTATCTATTTTTGTTGTTGTTATACAAAATAATGAACCAAGTCACTCAACAGTTTAACTGGATTTTAGTATTCAAATTGTGAGGCTATTGCCTTTATAGAAGTGGTGCAGCAGCCACACATGGAAAGATCTCCATAAGAAATAACAGAGCTGTTCTTTCTCCCACAATGCATTGATGTACATGGTGACCCAAAGAACTCACATGAAGCCAGCACATTGGACCAAGCAAAAAAGGATGCAGTGATCTTTTATCCTGTACAATGGGGTGGTGATAATGTACACATTGGAACACATTGTTCAAATCACCACTCGGACGTAGAAACCCTATGGGTCACCTTGGGCAAGTCACACTCTCTTAGTGTCAGAACCTCTTCCAAAAAAGTCTTGCCAACTAAATCTTGTTGTTGTTTCACTTTAGAATTAGTATAATTGAAAATGATTTCAGGGCACACAGCAACACTATATGCATTCTTCTTTTCTTCCTTACCCTTTTTATTTTGTCTATAGTAGATTTCCTTTAAAGCTTCGGTGCTTCTTGACTATTACATTTTTTGCAGCAAGAATACTGGTGCACATAGCAAAACAAAAACAGGAACTATAGCTCTGGGGGAAAAGGTGAATAAATTGGAATCCACAGTGTTGTGGCTTACCTACAGACAAAAAGAACAAACAGCATAACAATACATCTCAGGAAAGGAAAACTAAGATAGTGATCCAAACAGAGTCATATTTGTCACTTGTAAAAACAGAAGGGTAACAATTCTACTTGACACATACATATTGAGACTCATCTAAGAATACAGCCATAAGCTATAGGGGGAAAATTCACAGACCAAAAATGGAAAGAACACAATGATATAGAAATATTCTTAAGCTTCATCCACATGGATAAAAGAAAAAAAGCTTGCAATTAGTGAATTCTGAGGTATTTAACTGACCCCATGGGGATTCATACATTTTCCAGGGAATAAAATTGCCCCATGTGTATTTATATAGAACTAGCCACCTCCTGCCACGTGTTGCTGTGGCCCAGTCTGGTGATCTAGAAAATAAGGAAATGAGAAAGTGTTGGTCTCTAATATGTGTAATTTCTTTATGCTTGTGGGTAAACAGTATTTCTTGTTGGGGTTTTTTTTGTCAGTGTTGATGTAGAGATTATCTGGTTTGCTTACTCTGGAACATGCAACATATAATTGTCCTTCTTTATGGGTCCCATTTAAATCTATGATACTATATCTGTCATATACAATCTACATATATATGTGTGTATGCATGAATAATATATATCTATCTATATCTATGGCTGGATGGTTCTTTGTCAGGAGGGCTTTGATTATGTTTTCTTGCCCTGGTGAAGGGAGTTGGATTGGATGACCTTAAGGCAGCATTTCTCAACCTGGGGGTCAGGATCCCTGGGGAGGGGGTCACAAGGGGTATCAGAAGGGTCACCAAAGACCACCAGAAAACAGTATTTTCTGTTGGTCATGGGGGTTCTGTGTGGGAAGTTTGGCCCAATCCTATCATTGGTGGGGTTTAGAATGCTCTTTGATTATAGGTGAACTATAAATCCCAATAACCACAACTCCCAAATGTCAAGATCTATTTTCCCCAAACTCCATCTGTGTTCATATTTGGGCATATGGAGTATTCATGCCAAGTTTGGTCTAGATCCTTCATTGTTTGAGTCCGCAGTGCTCTCTGGATATAGGTGAACTACAACTCCCAAACTCAAGATCAATTCCCACCAAACCCTTCTAGTGTTTTATGTTGAACATGGGAGTCCTTTGTGCAAGTTTGGTTCAACTTCATCATTGATGGAGTTCAGAATGTTTTTTGATTGTAGGTTAATTATAAATCCCAGCAACTACAACTCCCAAATGACAAAATCATTTTTTTTACTAATGGTCATTCCTTGGGTTAGTAGGTGTCTTGTGGCCAAATGTGGTGCCAATTAGTCCAGTGGTTTCTGAGTTATGATGTCACTCAAAACAAACATAGATTTAGATAGATAGATAGATAGATAGATAGATAGATAGATAGATAGATAGATAGATAGATAGAGGGAATTCCATCATACTGAAGCAACCAGAGCCACCACCCCCCAACACGTACATGTTCATATGAGGTAAAACATTTGTTCTGAGTTACTGATAGACCTCTTGCTCACTCCAAAATTGTAACCATCATAACCCCTATGTCCTAGGATTGTTTCTCCTTGGAGCACTCTCACCAACTTCTTTGCATCATATATCACCCACAAAATGCCATTGGAGCATTTTGTGGGTGATATATGGATACATGGATACATCCCATTGTACTCCAGTAGCAAAATGTATCAGATTTGTTGCAGGTTTTTTTTTTGTCCCAGATGGTTTTTGCCTTTTAGAAAAACTCTACATAGCAGGTTGTTCAAACTCAGCAACATTGCTCAGATCTCTTTAAGTGACAATCCTGTAAACAATATAGGTCTAGATCTGTGCCAGTGCTGCAACAGAACATGACTCTGAGACACTAAAACGTCCTGTCTGGTTGGATGAAAATAAAAAAATGAAACCAGAATATGAAAATATTCTAAGCTGAGTCAATGTTGTTTGAAACCGTCAACTGGTACCAGTTTTACAGCATTTTCCTTTCTTTCACCCAATTATGTCTGTATATGTCTGTCTCATCCCGCTGTCTGTGACAGCCATTTTTCCTTGTGTGCTATAAAGGCTGTAAGACATGAAATTGCCTCAGTGTAGTGAGAAAGTACTTAAAAAGAAACAGCAACACATGCTCAACTTCCAGAGATGATACACATAACCATACTAGACTTGTGCTCTTCAGGCTACCTAATGCAGGGGACCAGCAATTAAACTTTTCTATTGTTTCAGTTACTGGTACCATATTTGTGTCCATTAGCTTCATCTGTTCTTCTCTTTGCTGGAAACTCTTCAAATACTATGAGATTATAGTTTGAGGACCAGCATTTAGAGTATCACTGCTAGTAAGGATGCATATATTGTTTTTTTCATCCTTGCTTTCTGTCTCAACTAGCAGAAATGGAGTAATAGTAGTCTCATTATGCAAGATGAGTAGTACTGTAATTCATTGCATAATCATCAGACTTTCTGACCCTTTTTACTTTGGAAAAAGGGGGGTGCAACCATTACATGAAGAAAAAAGTGTGTGGAGTCAACTTTGTCTGGGACTTTCCCTCTCTTACTTTTGAGGAGACAGGAGGGAGAAGGAAGAGCCTCAGATCCAACCTCCTCCTCAGGAGATAATACAGTTTTTAAAAAGAAATACAAATGGAGCCAGCCGGGTCTGGGACTTTCCCTCTCTTACTTCCAAGGAGGGAGAAGGGAGAGACCAAGACATGGCCAGCTCTAATGTGCACGAAGAAAGGAAAAATACTCATTTGGGGAATTAAAAAAGGAGGTGCGACTATTATGCAATGAATTATGGTATGGTAAGAGGTTTTAGCTGAACATGACATGAGACTTACTAATTACAAAAACCTGAGAGTTTGATTATGAGGGAAAAAATGATGTTAGTACATCCATTATACACATTCTCACTTCTCCAGATTTCTTGATAAAGTCCATGTACATTGAGGTACATCAGCAATGATTTGCA